AGGTCTGATGCGCATTCTCGTCATCGACCGCCTGGGCGGTTGGATGCAGCAGTGGGACAACGCTTTCCGAGCATTGCAGCTCGAACACCTTCGATCGCCGCTATTTTTTCACCCTGCACCAGCAGATTTGGATGCTTTGCTGGCTTTCGCCGAGAAACACGGATGCGCGTCATGCCCCGATGTCGACCGCACCCCGTCCCGCAGCCTTGCAAAACCCTCTCGTGCCGAACGAAGGCAGCGCAGAAGGCAAGACGGAGAGACTGCAGAGAGCTTGCACGCCGAGCATCAGCGGCAGGTCGCTCCGCCAGGCTACAGCTTGAGAGAGATTGCAAATTGTGTGGGCAAGGAGATTTCGAAGCATCGCATCAAGAGCAGGCAAAAGAGGCAAGGCAAGGCTCATTCTGCAGATCAGCATGCTCCCATCGACGCGACGAATCCACAAGGCATTGATGCGACAGCGGGCTATGCTAGGATGCTGCGCGATATCGGTCCAGCAGTCAACGAGCGCGACCGCAAGGACTATCATGTGCCATCCACCAAGCTCTTTCGAGAGTGAGTGCAGGCGTGGCAGCATGAAATGAGCATTCCTGCGACTCACGTCGTTGCCCACTCTCTCTCTCTCTCTCTCTTGCAGCTTCGTGCAACAAGAAGTGATCGAAAGGTATGGCCTGGATGGGGAGTGGCGCGACGCGCATCAAGTTCACAAAGGCGACAAGGGACCACCCCATGGCGGCGACACTTCAGCTTCTACAGCCCAAACGAATGCATCATCACCAATCACCTTGGCTAAAGGTGAGGTATCCAAGCTGAATTGGGGAGAACTCCACGTCGAGGGCTGGGACCACATGCAAGGATTCTGCATCAAGACTGAAGACGGCTCTCAATTCGGCTCTAAAGCTGGTGAGCAATTGCGAAGAGGTCTCGTGCGTTGAGATCTTTCAGGCATGCTGACCCTCGTTGATGAGTTTCGCGACTAGTCGTATGTGCACTGGGAATGGCTGGTGGTCCAGCTCTGCCGCAATTCATCACGCGCCCCCAATCGCCAGCATGCGCTGGAGATGGCTGGTGTCATTCAAGCGCCATTTTCAACCCCTCGTACCAATTCCCTCCTGCAGCCTCCAAAGTGCGAGGCAATACTTGCGTGATCGTGGGAGGCGGACTGACGACTGCGTGAGTCCCACCTTCCACTCGGTCTGAAATCGAGTCGATAGCGCAGCAACCTCATGTCACACTGCCTCGATGATGCATACTTCACCAGACAAACGGCGGATCTCGCGCTTCGTCGCGGCTTTGACCACGTCGAGGTCATCATGAGAGGACATATGAAGGGTTCGTGAATCGCTTCGGTGTATGCAGGTTATTGCGCGATCTGCACACTGATCATGACCACACTGGCTGCGCTCACAGTCAAGCCCTTTGACATTGGCTTGGAATGGATGGGCAGATATGCGAATCTTGCAAAAGTGAGATGAGGGCATCCTCTTTCTCCAGCGAAAGATGGCTCACGTTTTCTGAACCTCGCTCTGCTTATCCAGATGCGTTTCTTTCAAGAGGAAGAAGCAGCTACAAGATTGGCCATGGTCCGATGTGCGCGTCAAGGAGGTTCGATAACACCACCTTGGGCTGCACGATTGCGCGCTATGGAGCAGCAAGGGAAAGTGACGATTCGCACGCACACTACGGTGGACGATGCAGTCTATGACAAGCAACGTGATCAGTGGGATCTCAAGCTCTGCACCAAAATGCCACTTGCTCGCAAGAAGTGCGACGCTTGCGAGCTTCACAAAGAGCCAGAGGTGCAAATGCACCACGCGC